GACCATTTCTGGCCAGCAACTTTCAGCGTCATTAAGCCGCTGCGCCACCGCGTCCCCCTTGGAGTACAGTTAGTCTGCAGTTAACTATGGTAACTGGAATTTCTGTCGCTAAGTGATGCAGTCATAAAGCACAACATCAAGGCCTCCTGAAGCATTGTGAGGGCAGTGTGATTTGGAGAAAAGTAAGTGCGGCCTCAGGAAGAAGGCCTGGAGCGGCCAGCAGCTGCCTCACATAGGGCCAGGCCAGGCGCGCCTCATCAGCAGCAGGAGGAGGAAGATAGTGAAGGTCAGGTGGGTGTGGCAGGGGCTTTGCGCTGTGATTCTGGGGTGGCTGGCCATGGTGTGGGGTTTGAGGTGGCACTCCTTGGTGGTGGTGCCACTGGCGCTGGGGCTGAAGTAGAAGCCTGGGGGTGGCGGCGGCTGGTGGGACTGCTGAAGACGCCAGGCCTCCACTTCAGCACCAGCACCACCAGTGCTGCTACCGCTGCGAAGGAGTGCTGATGTGCATGACGGCCAAAAGGGCAGAGATGGGGGAGATAAACAGGTGGGGAGAGCTGAAGTGCCCCTGTGGTCATAAGTGCAGGCCGGCTGCCAAGTTCCTGAATTTTGATCACATGACTAGAGGGGTGCTGCAATGGCTATAACTTTGGGGACTAGGTGTAAGTACCATTCATTCAGTGCTGCTGTAACTTCGAACAGTTGCTAAACGAATGGTCGTTATCTGAGGACTACCTGTATCTGACTGTGGTCAACTAGTAAGCAGCCCACTAAGACTATCAGACCCATCAGCTATGAGACTGATCAAGACTGGCAACTCTTTATGGACTTTTGCTGAAAATGAATGAAAATGACATGATGGTTTCTGGATTTACTGACTGAAAAGGATTGAATATGGGAAGAAGAGAATTATGTGATGTAACTTGATGGGGGAGGAGTGACAATAAGTATGTTTGTAACTGTTGTAAGGAAAATTGGAAGTTGCTGCTTTAAATATTTTTTCTTTTTCTTCTCTTATCTACTGCACTTTTTCTTTCTCTTTTCTTTCTCTTAATTTCATTTTCTATATTTTTTCTGTGTTTATCTTTTATCTATTTTTTAAAAAATTCTAATAAAAATTATGATGAAAAAAAACCTGATTACTCATTCATGGTTGATGGAGGGACAGAAATTCTGTTGAAGTGGGAAAACCTTTTATACCACCCTTTATATGGCACATTTATCCAAGGGTGTGAAATAAACTTGATACTGCCTTTCTAGAACAGCTAGGTAAATTGCTTTGCATTATGTTTTTAAAAGAATGTAAGCCAATAAAACATTGATGATTTATATTCTAGAGACCAAGCTATCACATTCTACAGTCTGCAGTTATCTCAGTCTATCTCAGCAAATGTGAAAGTCTTTTAAAAAGTTATATGGGAAAACAATATTTTCTTCTGCTAATACAGTATGCACCAACCACTTAAAATAAAGTACTCTGAAGGCTACTTGACAGGAGCCAATCAATCTCAAGTGTAGGGTTTTCTTTTCCTGACCCACCCCACTTCCTAACCCTGACCCTAAGGAAATGAGGCAGGATATGATAATCTAATTTGAACCAACTGCACAATCTTTTCTTTATCTACTCAAAGGCCCCCTTATGTTCAATAAGGCTTACTCCCAGGTAAGTGGATATAAGACTGACGTCTAAAATATATTTGATTGAGGTGACAAAAATAGAAATTGCTTAGTATGGTTTTTTTAGTCATCTGCTAAATAGTTTTAAATATCAAATGATACAGGGAACTGCTTTAATCTATTGTAGTACTTCTATTCATTACAAAAAAAAAATTGTGTGCAGAATACAGCAGCCTATAAAATGCATTAAGGATGAAACAGTCTCTTCAGCTATTTTTTTAACCTCTCAAATGGCTTTGACTGAAAGCATTAGCACTTAGTTACTTTAGCTAGCATCTCTTTGCCCGGTCACTTATTTTACAACACACAATGCAGCTCAATTATATTATTTCCATAAAAGGTTTTGTTGTTGGATAAGCCACAAATGCTATTTTAATAATCATAGCTCAACAAAATTATTTGGTGAAATGTTTTAATGCGTCATAATTACTAGCCTTTAAAGAGTCTAATAGGGTTGGGGCTGGCTCCTTCCTTCCTTCCTTCCTTCCTTCCTTCCTTC